TTATCAAAAATTTTTCTAATTTTTTCCTCATATACGTTTTGCCATTGATTTGAGTAATTGATATTAAACTCTTTTGACCATATAGTTTCCATAATTGGCTTTTGAGAGGTGCAACAAAATTTTATAGAAAAATTTTGATGTTTTGTCTTCAATGTTTTCTTTTTTATCATGAAATTTAAAGGAAAATGAATTACATGTGTCGTTAATATTGATGAAAGAAGTATTACTCGAATTTATACCATGCCATTTACTAAAGATTGTTTTAATTACTAAGTATGTATTCACAAAAATTGCTCCCTTCATTAACTTGTCTAACATATGTTATCATACATTTCAATTAATTGATATACAGTTATTAAATTTGTTTCTAATTTGTAGAAAATAAACATCTCCTACATTTTATTAGTTATTACTACAATTGAAAATAGTATAAGGGTTTTTGAACAAACATCAATTTTATATTGTAAAAAGTTTTTTGTTTATTTAAATTGTTGTGTTATTTTTTTAAAAAGAAGAAAAACAATATTTATATCGTGTATGCACAAAATTGTAATGAAGACCATTAATCGGAATGTTATATCGCCAATTGTACAATAAAAAATTTCGGTAATTAAAATAAAATTTTCAGAATAAAAAAAATGCTGTCTCTTTGATCAAAAATACAATTTATTGTATATGAAATGAAATGAAATAAACATTATTTGGTATTTTATGTCTTGCTTTTTACGGAGTTTAATCGGGTTAATTAAAAGAATACTTATTGATTGAATCAGAATTTTATCATCAATCAATTGAACCATGAAAAGTCAAATCCCAATTTTCTTATCATGATCTGACATCGTGATCGTTTTACCACCATTTTTGACGCTTTATTTTTGACGTTGAATTTGACGTCACGTTTTAAACGTTCATATTGAAATGGTTTCTAAGGCCACAGCAAGTTTCTCCCACACATTGTGTTGTACGTCTGTTCATTGAATTTAAAAATATTATTTAAGTATATTTTCAATTGCATGTTTTTTTACACCCTATGTTATTAAATTTGTTCTAAGATGTGTACTAAGTTATTTCCTTAGAGTCATCTCAAGACACATCTTAGGAAATTTTTATAAGCATGTCTGCAGGTTGTTTATATATTAAAAATGACTTTCAAGATTGAGCTCTGTCAATAAATACGTTATTTCAAAATTCCTAATACTAGTACCAAGAAGAACTGTTTAATAAAGCTTGATAATCATAGCTTTTGAAATTTTCTTATGCCAAACACCTCATAAATGAACCTGATAGAATTTGAAGTACAACACAAATTGTATTGGTGGAACTGTCATGGCTTTTATTACTAATTACATTCACAGTTGACATGCCACTCCCATGTTCAAGCAACATGCAACTCGCATGTTCATGGCCTATGCGCCCATCTTACAACTCGTAAGCTTTTGACAGCATAGCATTCACAAATCATATCATAGCTGGGGGACCTATATGACCCTCGACCATTCTTTGCCTCTTTTTCAAGCTTCTGGGATTCAGCCTATTCAGGATTGTCTAAGAAAGAAGAAATTGTCTCCAATTGGATCGGGCATATCTGTCAAAATCAAAAACATACCCAAAGAGTATGAAATAAACATAAAGGCAAAACTATTTTGGAAAATATAAAAAGATATGTTAAGAAATTGATGACATAAATCTATAAATAAAAATCAGTTAACTTAACATACTCGGTTTGATAAAATCATGTGTTACTTATAAACATGAGATGCATTTTATGATTTTCTGGAAATTGACTTGGAATTTCCTTTTAAGTTTATTTTGGTTGTATATCATGTATATATACCCCTAGAAATGTCAATATATATAGGTGTTTTTTTGGGGGGGGGGGGGCAACATTTTTAAATCTTAGCATATAAAATAATTAAAGCAAAAAATGTATATATCTTACACTTGATTCTTTGTTTTAAAATTCTCCTTTGATATACAGCAGTCTTTGATTGGTTGCATGTAAAGGATACATTTTGCTATTATCTCAAAATTACTTGATGAGATTTTAGAAATGTAATATATATCAACATTTTTAGTTAAAATGTTTTGTCAAATTTACCTTTTCTTGTTTTTTATTCTTAAAGAAATTTCCTCTTTTTTATCAATTTACAAACAAAAAAAAATATTTCTTTTTTGTTTAAAAATATTTTCATACATTTACAGACGCTAGTTGCACCAAAATTATCTTGAAACAACTAAAAAAAAACTGAAGCATTATGGCCGAACTAACAGATTTAGAAACCATTGTCAAGGATTACGCATGGAATACCTTTCTAAAAGTAAGTGAAAAGAAAATTGATTATAAAGAGGCCCGAATTGACATTGATTGGTCGAGGACCAAATTTGTGGCATCGAAACCAACATTTGGTAACGCGGGGGTGTCAGATCTCCCAAACGCACAGGAGATCTACAGGTCAACCTACATGAACGGAACAACGGAGGACCAGGAACATTCCGTCTCCATGCAGAGGAGCACCAAGAGCACCTGCAAAGCTTACGTCACCAAGGGGTACACCAAAGGGGTGAACGTCGGCCTCAAGCTGGCCGTACCAGGAGAAGTGGCTAACCTGACCACGGCGTTTGGATACTCCGTCAACGTCACCGACAACTCGGAGGAGTCCAAGGAGGAAACCATGACCTGGGGCTCCGACTGTAAGGTGAGGGTCCCTATAAACAGAAGAAGGTGACGGCGAACATCTCCGTCACAGAGAAAGAGTACTCTACAGACTTCAAGATGAAGACCACTATTTATGGAACCGTTCACATTGCAATCCACAGCAGAGTGGACGACCGGTTTGTACAATCTATCGATGCGCAATTCGCGGAAATCATGAGCTGGTTTTGCAAAAAGGATGGATTCGGAGCAATCACCATCAGAAGGAAGGAAGTGACATGGGAAGTCACCGGAAACTGTTACTTCAGGTTTGATGTGGAGCAAAGAGTGGAGACCCAGCCCTCTCGCCAGATCTGAACTGTATTTTATCGTTGCTTTTCGATTAACGTTTCCACAGGAACTGAATCGAATTCATCTCTTTTTGTATGTTCAAATGTTTTCTAGATCACAAATTTTATCCTGTTAAAAATCCAGTATTGAACTATTACCTAGTTAGTACCAATTGGCATGAAATGCTTTGCAAAATTTCTTGCATGTACTTTCCATTTATGTGCCAAAGTATGCACATTTGCACATCAATGTTCTTTTCATATTTTCAAACAATGAATTGTAAACATTAGATTTTTAATTGACTAAAATAATTTTAATTTGTTTCATTTGTTTATTTAGATTAAAACATCTTACAAATGAATGTTTAATGTTATAAAAAAAATATGATCTTTATGCGCCTGAGTATTTTTATCTTGAAAGCTATATTGTATAACCGAATACTTGTATATTTTAACATTAATTTATATTAAAGCGTTTAATTCATTTGTGAAATTACTGCGCAGTTATTTGTGATAGTTCTTCTCTTCATATGAATAGCATTTTTGTCAATAAATATTGTTTTTTTGTGCAAAAGATATCAATAATTAAAACACAGTTTCAAACTTTTGTTTTGTTTATTCTTATCAAAAAATATTTCAATTGCCATTTCTTATGGCTTAATGACATTAAATTCGGGACAATTTCGTTCAACAGTGAATTTAACGAACCTTAACAAATCTTATAAAGCATTAAACAAGAGACCCATGGGCCATATCGCTCACCTGAGCACTGTGGCTTATGAAGGGGGATATGATTTGAACAAACTTTAATACTTAAATCTACACTAACAAAGATGCCTGCATATTTTTTTGATTAACTATGTCTTTTTTACCCTTTAAGTTTGTGCCCCCCCCCCCCCCCCCCCCGATCGTGATGATTAGAAAAAAATTAAATCTACACTATCTGAGAATGCTTCAGTGTAAATAGGATTAATCATGGCTTTGCTGTGTCCGTGAATTTTTTTTAATTTTTTTCCCTGTATATTAATGTATACAATGTAAAACTTTGATCAACCCTTGTGGTCAGTCATACCCCCGGGGGTAATGATTTGAACAAACTTGAATCTACACTACCTGAAGATACGCTCTTATAAATATGACCAATCATGGCTTTGCTGTTCTTGAGAAGAAGATTTTAAAAGATTTTTCCTATATATTTCTAAGGAAAACTTTGGTTGTCCTTTGTGGCCCCGCCCTACCTCTGGGGGTCATTATTTAAACAAACTTGAATCTACAGTACCTGAGAATGCTTCCATATAAGTATGACCAATCGTGGCTTTGCTGTTCTTGAAAAGAAAATTGTTAAAAGATTTTTTCTATATATTTCTATGTAAAACTTTGTTCGTCCCTTGTGGCCCTACCCTAGCCCCGGGGGTCACGATTTGAACAAACTTAAATCTACCCTACCTAAGGATGATTCCCCATAAGTTTCATCTTTCCTGGCACAGTGGTTTTTTTAAAACATGCCACCAAATTTTCACAAATTCTTAATTATCTCGCCTTAAATTAGGGCTTGGCCCTTCATTTGAACAAATTTGAATTCCATTTATCCAAGGATGCTTTGTGGCAAGTTTGGTTGAAATTGGCTCAGTTCTGGAGATTGTAAAAAAGTTTACAGACGGACCAGCTAACAAAGACGGACAGACGGACGACGGACAAAATGTGATCAGAAAAGCTCACTTGTGCTTTCAGCTTAGGTGAGCTAAAAATATACGAATAGAAGAGGGTAAAAACATGGACCGTTGAAAATACTAGTGGTGAATTTAAGTTGGTAGGAGTACGCCTCCCCTTCAAAATCACCTCGTATTTTCTGTATCGGTAAAATGAGTTATCGGTCAAAGTATTTCATAAATACAATGGCCAAAAATACTATGAAATATATCGGTAAAATGACACACAAAATAAGGAACATCTGCAAAGAATATCCTTATAATGAAGAAAATATTAGCAAAATGCTGATTTTTCTATGATGCTGCTGACAGTTTAAAAATCTCTTAAAGATACTAGTAAGTTTTAATGCCCAGTCGTTTAAAGAGAGAACAACCCAAAGTTAATTTGAAATCTTGGTGATGGACTTGAGAATTTTATTTCTATTTACATGACTACGTAGTCAAACTCGCCAGTTGTAAAATCCTCTCCGATTGGTCCTTCCGCTTTTACGTAATCATTGCAATGATCGTCACTAAGTTCTAATTCGTTTTTTAACAAATCAGTTTTTCTGTTATTTTCACTGGAAAATTCTTTTGATGCATTTCGATCATCAGCTGAATCTTTATTGTCAGTATTTACTGAATGAACCACGGGTTGAAGCTCAACTTGTTCGCTTTGATTTGTTATTGGTATGTGTTCACATTCACATCCTTCTCCAGGAAGAAGCACTTTTGGAATTTTTAAATCTTCTGGAAGCTGTTTTTCTCTGATTAATTTTTCAGAAGATATGCTTCTATTAGAACACATTGATGTAATGGGGGAGTAATCTTCCCAACATTCCATGTTTCCTATGTAGTCCATGTTATTAAACACCTGATCATGTTCTGAAGCTTCATAGAGATTTCCAATTTTCTTCTCGAACGTTTCGCTGTTTTCGGAGAATCCATCACACTCACCCACCTTGCAGTAGTCATAATCTTCCATTACGGTTTTCCTATAAGTTTCAGAATTATCCATATTGTGACATAACACATTCACATCCATATAAGTCGATTCCTGTGATTGTAGTCCATTTGACGAGCTTTCATTTGTTGTAATTGAGGAAACGCTTTTCGGATATGTTTGAGGAGCTTGATCCAAACCTGATATTGTAACAGAACACTTAGAGTTAAGGTTCTGATCTGCTGTGTCTGTAGACAATATAGTTGAGGGTATGGAATGATAGATATTGCTGTCTACAGGTTCATAGTAACCCTCCAAAGATTGCATTTGTGTGTCAGACATCTGCCCAGCATTGAGGATTCCATTTTGTGTTGAGGGACTTTCCTGATTGTTGCCCAGAGATGTTGTATTTCTCTGCTCATTTAAGGAAAGTATATATAAGTAAAAAGATCTGTTAATCGTTTAACTAATGCTGAATAATCAAGCATTTATTTACCCTAGAGCATTTCTTTAACACGTTCCATAACTTCTCCCTGAGACCTCCTCGCCTTAAAAAAAGCAGGAAACTTTTACATTTTAGTCTTTTTCTTTTGGGAGTTTTAGTGGAATGGGTTAGTGATTTACATTTTTAGTAAGAATTTTTTATTTAAAAATAAAGTTAAAGTATATTTTCTTCAATTACTGTTTCAGGATTATATTCAAAATGATGACAAGTAAGTATGTTTAGGAAAACGTGCTCTTAGAATTAAGAAAAATATATAAAAACATGTAGAATACAAGATAAAACATTAGATCAATGTACCATTTCAGTAAGATCCCCAGCAGTATTAGAATTATAGGGAAGATAGGAATGATGAAAAGGATATAAGACTCGGATGTAGTTCTTGTGTTTGCTTGATTATCAGTGCTCTCTACCGAAAAAAAAACAATAAAAGATATTGCTTTCCGGTAAAAACTATTTCAACATTGTATTGGAAAATTTAAACTCTCATGAAATCATAATATCTGAAAAAAAATATTCCGCGTTATAAAAATTGACTAGACAGTTATGACTGATTTCGAGGAAAGTTCAGACAGAATCAGTTTACATACAAATCCTGAGGTTTAAAACGTCATCAAAATAATCATTATTTCCAAGATTGTATACTGTAGGTTATTATACCTACATATGCAAGTTCTTTGAATGAAAATTATTGTTTTTATTTAAAACTTTAAAACATATTATGTAGAGGGAATGATTTGAATGCTGTAAAAGTAAGCCCGATATTTACTTACGTAAACATACATCCCAGTCTATTGCGTCAGACTGACCACCCTGACTGACAACTACACCTATATACACGGTACCATTACCCTTTCTCCGGGGAAGTGGAATCAATGTCGACGAATCATTTCGGTTTGCTTTGGTCCAGTTTACATAGCTCTGAGATAAAGTTACGAACTGCATTATGGGCGATCGTCTCCTTTTTATATGATTATTAATTAAAGAGCTTAATAAGGAAATATTTTTATACCGTACTCTTACAGAATTTACATCATGTACCATAAATGGAAAGCTTTATTAAGCAACTTAAAGCAATCAAGCGGTCTTGTTACTAGTAAGAATATAATTTTTCTGACATTATATACAATGTTGCCTTATACCTGACAATCAACATAAGGACCATGCTTAGTCCCCTGACACCAGTAGTATATGATATCACAACTCTTGTCTCTTATACATGGAGTGGTAGCAATCACTGAATATCCGTGTGAGTTCTTGCTGTAATGAATTGCGCATGATGTGGGGCGATGTCGACCTAAACGGACAAAGAAATGAAATAAAATGCATTTTTTTCACATCCATTAGCCAAAAAGATTCCTTGATGTATGATGTAGGAAATTACGGACAGTGTTCAAGATTACGGACAGTATTCAAGATCAAAAGTCCATAAAACAATACAAAATAGGCACAGAGCAAACAAACACCTCCAAAACATTAGAGGTGAGATCAGATGCCACGGAGGAGTGAGCATCTCCTGGTGACCGGTCACACCCGCCGTGTACTCCTTGTCATGATCGGGAAATAACAGAAAAATCCGTCGTCAATAAGAATCAATGAGATTCTTATAACAAAAAATACATCGCCCAGTTTAAATACACAAGGAAAAATTCAAGTGATCAGTGTTTTTTCTTTTAACAATTCAAAAATACGTATGTTTAATGAATTCATTAAGATTTCCCGAAAAAGAAATACTGGAATGTAATTAAACTCACCACACAATGGATCCGCCACTTGAAGAATGGTTGCATTCTGTGATTTTCCTACAGAGTTCACGCTGTAGATACTGATATTGAACTGTTGACATATGCTTGTCTTCGGAATACGAACCTTTCCCACAGATGAATTTGGAACAATGAATTCTTTACTTTGGGTTCTGTCAGAAACCAGTATCTTAAACCTGGATATATTCTCCTCTAAAACCTGCAAAAAATCCTATTCTTTAAATTAAAATGATTCTTTTAATCTTTAACACTTCATAACGTTAAATGAATGTTAAAAACTTTAGGAGTGAAAACAAAACAGAAAGAAAACAGAAAAAAAGCCTTTTACTTTATAGCTGAGGAATATTATTGTGCAAATGCTAATAATTGCAATGTTGTTTTTTATATTTTTCGCAAAGCTTTCATTCAGAAAAAGTAAGTAATTCAATCATACATTTTTTGGGATTACAGATCAGAAATGTCACCTTCCATTGTTATAATCAAACTTAAGAGTGATGGTAAACACTTGCCTTCCAGTACAGAGCTAGGCAGTAGAAGTCCTTTTGACAGACGTACATATCATACCCTCCCTGGCCCACCAGAGGACCAGTCAAAGGGGCTGTAATGTAGTGGTAAATACATGTATGAACTTGCTTTCTTTCAGGGCTTTGATTACGTTGTAAACTGACGTGAGTAAAAAAAATTCCAAGGAATTGTTGGGCGCTTTAAAATCATAAGATTTTACCAAAATCAACAACTTAAAAACTTAATTGCAAGTTCAGGCTTTTTGAAATCATTGACAGTTGTTTTTTCCATAAAAGAGGAACTCGAAAATTTACTTAACTGGTCATTGGTCATTTGCGAAATTATTTTAAAAAAACAATCTGATTGCACACACAAATACTCTGAAGTTGACATCAAAAAGATGCTTGAGTTTCTGATTGACAATATCTATGTCGTTTTTGGAGACCAGGTCTTCCAACTATCCATTGAAATTTCGCAACGGTACCAATTGCACCCCATTATTAGCAGACCTATTTTTGTATTATATGAATTAGAATTGTCCAAAATCTTGCACGTTAAAAGATGAAAACACTTTCTGTAGATTTCAACTCGATATTTAGATAAATCGACGAGATTTTCAATTAACAATAATTTTTTTATTGTAATTTCCATTCGTATGTCGATACGATATATTCCAGTGAGCTTGAGAAAAAATAAACCACAGAGTCTGACATATATGTTTGATATTAGGATACTTGAAAAATTTTTAACAACCAAGCTCTATGATGTTTAACGAGATGATTTTTTAACTATTCTATCGTCAACGTCGCTCACTTATGCAGCAGTATACCTTCATCATCTACATACGGAATATATATACATCTCAGTTGATTTGACACGCAAGAGTTTGCTCTACGTATGAACAATTTCTAAAACGAGGTAAATCATTGACAAGCAAGTGTATGAAACAAGAATATTAGCAGTCTTGTTTAAAGTCATCATTTAGTAAGTTCTATGGTCGATACAATGACCTTGTCAGCAAATACAATTTATCATTGAGTCAAATGCTGTCTAACGTTTTTCAAACTAATTGTTAGTCCATGTATTTAAAACTGATTTTATATGATGATTGTAAAGATTGGTTGTAACATGGTCGTGTTATTATAGCTTAATTTGTAAATGCTTGTTTTTTTATTTTGATGATTGTTTAAATTTAATTGTTTAGAACATGTTATTTGTGTGATCTCATTGATGGAATATATGGAGATAACGTTATTTCCAACGCTTTATCATTGATTCTAAATTATCACGTGAATAAAACTCAAAATTTCACTCCATGGCACCTGATTACACCTCTGATGTTTTGGAGGTCCGTGTTTGCTCTGCTTCTCGGGGAATATGATTTTTCTTAGCTAAATAAATCTTCACATCTCCATCAAACATGCAATAAACGTATAGCATTAAAGCTCAAAAGTCCATTAAACAAACGCTGACCTCCAAAACATCAATGGTTGAATCTGGTGATACGTATATGGAGGAGTGAGCATCCCCTTCCGACAGGTCACACATACCGTGTGCTCCCTATCGTGATCGGAAAATAACGGGAAAATCGGTTAATTCTAAATTTGTATTCATTTTTACTGATAAATGATGTTATTCTTAGCTATGTATATACGATGCATTTTAATTTGTAGCATTCTTTGACTTTAACTTTGTAAGTACTTTTAAGATGTTATTGTAAGTGCGTGTTATTTGTGTTGATACTATTAACGTATTGGAGTGTTGTTATTGTAAGTGCGTGTTATTTGTGTTGATATTATTAACGTATTGGAGTGTTGTTTTTGTATCACCTGTTAAAGGTGTTGTGAATGTCACATAGACATCATCACTCCAGACATCAGAACTAATCACGTGACACCTTATTGTACTGGAGTAAGCCTTGGTTTCTTGCAGTTTCTCTAACGTCACCATGAAAAGATTGTCAGAAGAACATTTCTGAAATAAAGGTTAATGCTGTCGATATTGATTAATAATTGCTTTAAGACAAAACTGCATTGGAGAAAATGTATAATCTGTAAATCTAGCTTGTATTTCACATAGCAGCAGCAACACTTTACATGGAGGGGAAAGAAAATAAAAAATAATAAAATGTCATTATTTTTACAGCTAATCTTATTTTTTTCAAAGTATAAAAACAAGATTTGGAAAAAATACAATCAAGACGCAAAAAATGGTGTAAATGAAAATTGAATTCTATTTTTGCGAGAAATTTTATCGTTGAACAGACAATTTTATTTTTTGTCATAGTAATCCAGTAAATTAACTTTCAATGAAAGACTTTCACCGCGAAAAGAGTAATATATGATAAGTGTCTCAATTGGCCCCTTAAAATGAATATCTTAATTTTACTTTATTCATAGCTTTAATTTGTACAGCTATATATGCGAACTTTATTGGTCATTTTCATTTTGATCAAAATGCCGTTATTTTAGAAATATGACATCATAAAAATCACGTTTTCCCGCCATTTTAGCATATTTTGTATAAAACAGTTTATTTTCAAGCAGTTTTTCTTCCAGTAAATATAGAGCGCAGCCTAGAACAAGCTTTATATTTTTACCAAAGATTTATCTATCCAATACTAATTAGTGACAGAAAAATTATGCATGTTCTACACTGCGCTCTATGTTTCCCAGAAGAAAAAACATCAAGAAAAGGGCATATTTTTGGCTTTTTTGTTGGATAGCAAAAAATGGTATTGTTTCTCATGTCATTTACAGCTAGTGAGTGTATATATATGTGAAAAATATATTGGAAATATTTCTAATGTATTTGCATATCCACTTCTCTCTCTCCCACTATGTCATTAATTGCGTTCATAGGTCTATAGGTCTACGCAACTGCTTCTACTATGAGATCAATTGCTTTATCACACTCGTGTAGAACAATCTCTACTATACATAAAGGAAGTATATATATGAAATGTTTTATAAGAGGAATAAAAATAATTTTTTCATAATATTCTTTGAAAAAAAGGAAAGTTCAGACTATTCAAATTTGCTGATTTATATCTTTAAAAATTCAATTTTGGTCAATGTATTTAATTGTATAATAAAACTTTTTAAAAATTGTAGAGAACTGCCATATTTTTATTTTTTGTATCATGCGTATTTGAACAAAGAACGATAACTCTTCACTCTTGGGTTTTAACATTCAGAAAGAGAAAATTTCTTTAACTAGTATAAGGAATGATTTCAGCTATTAAAAATCAATAGAAAAACTAAAAAAAAATCATAGAAAAGCATTCTGGAGTAATAATCATTATGAAAGCATTCTCATTTTTTATCATAGTGTTAAATTATTGATTTTTGTCAGAGGGTTTTAATAACGTTGATCACACACTGCATCAAAACAAAAATGTTATGACGGCGCTGCTTGTATCCAGATAACTGTGTTTGAGAGGGAAATACTTTATAAATATGTTTGTGATTTATTAGAGAAAAGGAGCATTAATCGGGTTTACTGATTTTAAAGCCGTATATGTTTTTCTTTACTGAAGACAACTGACAAGATGCTGCGTCCTAATGTAAGTCAGGATTTCCTCTGATATTCTTGAAAAAAATCAAAGAATGCAAATATAAGTAATAAACAACTTATTCAGTATATGTGCAATAGCTCTGCTGGCATATTTTCCATGATGCGCTAGCGCGCATCATGGAATATGCCAACAGAGCAATTGCTATTCATAACGCCATGTTCACTGAATAACGTTGTTTATTTCTTAAATAATTTCTTCTACAAAATAAATATCAATTAAACATATCTGAATGTCATTCTAAAATGTTGATTTTTAGGGGGCCAGAATTTGCTCTTATCATATATACTCCTTTCTCGCCGCGAACCGGTCCTTGAAGTGTATGTGTCTATTAACCACAGATCCAAAAAGGCTTGATCGAAACTAGTTATAAAAATAAAGCCATATATCAGTAATAAACCATGTTGTTTTGACATAATTTACATGTACTTATTACAAGTGGACAACAGGTGTCTATATCTGTAGTGAAATGGACATACCTGGTTGACTGTGATAGGTGCACTGTTGTTTGTGGTTATCACACACTGTATATCGCAGTCACAGGTTTTCAGTGAGAAACTATTGGTTCTCCATGCAAGAACTGAATGGGTGCTAGAATTCTGAATATGTGCTGCGCTAACAGATAATTTTACTGAAACAGGCATTTACAAAAGTATAAAGATATATTCCAGTAGACGGTATGATACAAATAACACAAAAGATGCTCAAAAATATATCATTACATTGGTGCCAGAAGTGATGCCCAATAATTTTTTACATAGCTACCTGTTGAACAATCTAACACCTTGTGGATGACCTTGCTAGCTGTAGACGTCATCTTCACACCTGTTAATTTGAAGTCAATCGCTGATTCACCTGAAGGAGGGACTGGGCAGACAGCAGTCACCTTAGTTTGGGTCTCATACCTTGCTTGTACACAGTGAGTCAGGGGAGATAACCCGTTACATATTGTCGATACATTGCATTCCTTCACTGTCTCATAAACCCCCATGCCAGCGTTAACTCTTAAAAGATTGAAATAACATCACTTTTCCAAAAATAATAATTCCTGTTAAAGGATTCATGCTACATATACGTAGTAAATTTCATTACAGAGTGAAGTTGGTTGCATGGAAAATAAATATTACATTTTGTGATCCTTTTTTCTGACAGGTGTTTGTTAGTGTGTGATTATGTACATGATGAAATATGGACTTACATTAGATAACGAAAGAATATTTATAATGAGGTATGATAATACATTTTGTGATCCTTTTTTTCTGACAGGTGTTTGTTAGTGTGTGATTATGTACAGACGGGACTTACATGGAAAGATTCCAACAAGTGGCATTCCCTCCTATCCACTCACAAATCACAGACAGATGGCTCTCATCAAAATAACACTGAATCTGACCTGGCAAAACCACACTCCCTGAAAGAACATCAAAGTTCATGTAAGTTTAGAAACTCATCATATGGCTCATTTAACTTCTGTGTTATAGTTACTGGAATTTATAGGAAGAACACGAAGATTTCAACGGGCTTTTATAAACATTTGCACTTTTTAAAACTACAAAGGTGTAATGTAAAACTAGAGATTCAAGATGAAAATTGTTGAAAAAGCCTTATTTTTTAATATTAACTTTTAAATTACCTTCTATATATGTAATTTGACGTTTATTATCAGCATCTCGAGTACAGAAATACGTTCCTGTGTTATTTGGTATTGTGACGTCATCAATTCTGGTTTCAATTGTGTCCGAGTTCACAACTACGGATTTAAGTTGATGGACAACATCTGACCTGTCCCGTGGTTTAAATACGAATTTTGCGTCAGTGGTGTTGTTGTCGCTGAACGTACATCTCAATACTACATCCTCGTGCTCCTGGTAACAAACTGTAGACGGGTGTATGCTGATATCTGCAATGTATACGTAGGAAATCCGAAATTTAAAATAAGTTAAAATGGATGACAATTAAAGGAAAATTCTGTACATTTCTGAAAATATTCTCACCAAGGCATGAGGAAGTAGGATATTTCATCAGTATAAACATCGCAATCCCTGATATGATAAGCCGCACATCCATCATCACCTAGGGAATAAACTTGGTAAAGAAATTAATATTTATAATAAATACATTCATGTTTATTTTTATATTAAAATCATGAGATAAATAGTTTGTCCTCTTTTAAATATTGGGAGTCGAATACCATGTAACTTTCAAAATATTTACCTTAACATTAGAACGGAACTGTTATGCAATTGTATAATTCAATGGATGGATGCTAGACGCATGACTTTGTTTTGTTGAATTTTCTTCCATAACAAACTGAGCAGTACTGTTTCCAAAATATCAGCATTTTTTGTCACGCAGGATAAATTTCAAAAATTTTTTGTCACGCTGGAAGAAAAGATTCTTTTGGATTAAAAAAGAGGAAAAGAATAAAATAGGGATAAGACGTTTAACGTCATATAAGTATCCATATTGTTATTTGTTATTTGTATTTGTCTGTAGACTAAAAAAATATGAAAAAGGGGATTTTGTGTATGTTCAAAAGGGACCAAAATATCTATAATGTCTCCTAACTTCTTCGCTCTTCAAGGGTCTGTTCTGAGTACGATCAAATTCAAAGTGAGGAATGCTTCTCTTTGATAAGTTTATGCAAATTAAACCTATCATTGGTCGTATTTTGGCGCACTTATTACATACAAATAAATTGTAAGTCCTTTGTTTTTACACTGAATTTAAATGCGAAATATTCTGTGTACCTGATCAATACACAGGGATTACGGCGGGTGAGACTGATCAACAGGGGACGCTTACTCTCCCGAGGCATCTGATCCAACCTCTGGAATTTTAAGGAAGTATTAATGGTATCTTCATATATATTTGTATTGTTGAGGTTTTTTTTTAGATCAAACAACGTTCGCTATCTACAACCCCGGGAACCCCGAGATTCAACTGGCGTCGGAATTTCATAAATACATGTATTATTGATTCTGTCGAAAATTACGCCAGACGATGGGCCAGATAAGAAAAAGAAGACGTTGACACTTTGTCAGAATGGATAAAATGTATCAGATCCATGTATTAAAAGATTGAGGGGCTATTTGAAAACCATCTATCCCTCTGTGTTCAATAACTCAGAAGTGAAAAAAGAATTACATAGATTAGATGATCAGTACTTACTGGCCCCTGCCGACAAAGCAGGTAACAACATTGTCTTCGTTTGTAAGGCTCAATATTTACATTACATATGTTTTTTTTGCATATAAAGTGGATGGAAATCTATTGCATTCAAAACACCACAACACAAACAGGGTGCCAAGAGGTTAAAGCATGTGTTTAAGTTTGACGTCACAATCGTTGAACGCCGAGGAAGTGCAACGTCACAAGCAAAAATCAAAAAATCACGCTCAAATTGACCAGGAGCTGTTATTTTGGCTGATCCATTAACTGTAGCTTACACAAGGGATAATACATAGGTTTTTAAATAGAAATCACATTTGCAGTTAAAGTAGAAAGTTTTTAAAAAATGTAAATATAAGCAATGAATCATTATTTTTTGAAAGATATAGTCTCATAACTGCAACGGTGTGTGCAAACAAATTTTCATAACGCGCTAACGTGCGTTACTCAATTTGTTTGCACACATCGTTGCAGTTATGAGACTATATCTTTCAAAAGATAATAATTCATTGCTTAATTATATAAATTGTATTTTAAAAGAACTTGGATTTAAGGAAGAAATTCTTCAAAATTTAAAATATTTTTTTTATATTATAGAAAGCCAAAATGAATTTGAACTACCCTATATATACTGTATTGGATTTCGAAACTTCGTTAGAATCATTACAAACAAAGATACATTGCTAGTTCCAGTAAATGTTCAACCATGCTTCTTTCTTTACTTCTTATCAAGATATTGACAGTAGTGAAGGAAAAACTTCAAAAGTAATGTGCAACAATATATTCGAGAAGTGGTGTGAATCAGATGTGGATACTAAAAAATTCCAAAGAACTTAGAATTTACCAAAATCAACAGCTTAAAATCTTACGACTTTTCAACTGTATATACAACCATTCCCCACGATAAATCAAAGTCCAGGTTTTTTTTTTATATCATTGACAGCCACTATTTCAACAAAAATGGAACGCGTAAATTTACTTACCTGGTCTTCGGTCATTTGCAAAATTATTTTGTTAAAACACATTCTGATTGCACACCTAAGTACTCTGAAGTTGACATCAAAGAGATGCTTGAGTTTCTGATTAACAACATCTATGTCGATTTTGGAGACCAGGTTGGTATTCCAACAATCTATTGGAATTCCCATGGCTACCAATTGCACTCCGTCATTAGCAAATCTATTTTTATATTTATTTGAAGCAGAATTTGTGCAAAATCTTACGCGTGAAAAGAAGAAATCACTTAATTGCTGTGCCCTTCAACTCGATATTTAGATACTAGTATATCGAAGACGTTTTGTCAATTAACAATGGTAATTTCCATTCCTACGTCGATACAATACATCCACGTGAGCTTCAGATAAAATTTACTACAGAGTCTGAGACATCTGTTTCATACTTGGATATTTTACTTGAAAAAGACATTAATGGTAATCTACCAACCAAGCCATATGATATTAACTTTTCTTTCGTCAACTTCTCTTACTTATGCAGCAATATACCTTCATTGCCTGCATACGGAGTTTACATATCTCAGTTGATTTAATACGCAAGAGCATGCTCTAAGTATGAACAATTTCTAAAACGAGGCAAAATTATTGATAAGCAAGTTGATGAAACAAGAATATCAACAATCTCGTTTAAAGTCATCATTTCGTAAGTTCTATGGTGGATACAATGACATTGTCAGCAAATACAATTTATCATTGAGTCAAATGCTGACTGACGTTTTTCATACTAAGTGTTAGTCCTTTATTTATATACTAAATTGACGACGGATTTTTCCATTACTTTCCGATCATAACAAGGAGCACACGGCGGGTGTGACCTGTCAGCAGGGGATGCTCACTCCTCCACGGCACCTGATCCCACCTCTGATGTATTGGACGTCCGTGTTTACTCTGCTCCTATTTTGTATTGCTTTATAGACTTTGATATTGAATACTGTTCATTATCTCCATATTCTTCTTCTTTTACAATGAAACTTCATCATTGCGGAAACAAGTAATTTATAATGAAAATAGAGAGAGTCATCCCCAGAATGATTTTTTAATCACATAAAACTAGAGTTCTACTTTAGGCTAAAACGGTCAAATCATACGAAGGTTATGACACTCATGTGACTTTTAAGCCCTGTGGGTCTCTATGATAATGATTGAAATGCAAACAAAACAAGGTATGTAATTCACTTATCTACTTGATGTTTGATAGCAATACCAAATGGTGATGATAATTCACAGTCAGTTCAGGATACATGACTACGAATGTCATAATAAAGGATCAATATTTTATTTATTTCGACAATCTATTATTTATTTACAAACATGATAAGTTAGATTATATTTTCATTCCATTTTCATTCCAGTATCTAGATCATGTAAGGGATTATCCAAGATCAATATATGAAGTAATTACGAGGTTTTTATAATTGACTTACTGTTTTTTGTTTGTTTGTCTATTTGTAAGGACTGTAAATTGATATGTACACGGCAATTACGGCCTTTGAGCCTCAGTGGGATTCCAAGCCACGACATACGGACAAACTCCTTACCCCGCGACTCCAGAACAAACACTTTAACCACTGCGCCACGCGGGAGACTATATTAGATATATTAATCCCACTTAAGATTTATTTTTTTCAATTGAATCACTTAAAGATAAAATCGATCTAGTCTTGTGTATTTCTATAAATGTTTGTAACAATTACCTGCTGATGACAACAGCTTGTTTTTAGCCATATCCGGTGTACCTGTTGGCCGGAAATTCGCTGTTACGCTGGGTCCAAGAGACCAGATCACGATTATCAATCAGGTATCACTCAGGTATCTGTAGTATATCTTCAGGTAAAAAACAATTGTAAACATCGAGCAGTTCAACATTTACTGAAATGATTTTTTACCACCCACTTAGAAATTATGATATTTAATAAATTTGCCAGTTTTTTTATCTAATTTTGTCTTTTTTCAAGATTACTTTTTTCAATCATCATGATAAACAATCGGCAAGACCACTTTACCACTCACAATATGAAGATATAATTACCCGTATTTCACCGGCTGATTGACACATATAATATTTCTTTCTAATGTTTGGTATAGATAGTGCGTTTGGATTGATACAAAACTCCTATAACCTCGCTACACATCTACATATAAACATTTCTCGTATACCGGCCTCTCTCTGATATCTTTACTGAAAGTGATTATACCAGATTGCATCTGCAATATGTCTACATTAGATTCAATTCGTGATGTAATCTCTCTTTTAGTTGGGTACGTAATAAAATGAATCATCTGGCATACAGTAAATCCTTTAACTCCTTAGCTTTCATTAACTAGAAATCAAATTCTGTTTCATTGAGGTGTAACTTTTATGAAATATTACATACTGGAATAATAACTACATGAAGTATCATATATATATATATATATATATATATATATATATATATATATATATATATATATATATATATATATATATATATATATATATATATATATATATATATAAAAGATATATAATTACTTTGCGATTTTTTGTAGATGATACTTTTGATAGTTTTTTATACAAGCATGTTTGTAAAATCTATATGATATAAAAGATCAATTAACAAATAAGCAATGGTATCTATTACAAAAAAACTGTTTAAAAATAAAAGAACGTTTAACGACACCCCTGAGGTTTTTCAATATAATAAGAACAATAAAAGGTGAACAGTGATGAATCCATATAAAAATAAATCTACCAGTTATATAAAATCTGTGAACAAGACGTACAACCCGCACATCTTAAGGTAGGGTCAGGTGCCTAAAAGATGTAAGCATCCCTTCTTGACCGTTCTTACCCAATGTGAGCCCTGTGTATGTTCAGGTGGACAAAACAATAAAGTATATTATAAAACAAAGGCATTACAATTCGTAAACGTGAACCAAATTACGACCCGTTGATAGTTATATTTATTAATGTCATTATAACGACCATACAAATACGAATTACTGACTTTAAATAAAATTGTTACAATTCCTGTAACAATAAATTATCTGTCAGTAGTTTAATTGCATGCGATAAATAAGCAGATTTCTAGTGGGATTTGAAAACATGAATAAGGAAATACGAAGAAAAAGTTGCATTTATCTTGTTTGTCATACAATTTTATATAATTTTAATTTCAGTTGGTCCTTATCTTCCATTATCAATAAAACATTTAAACATGAGACAGACATGTTCAACCTTCTGATGTCTTTATCTAAAATCAATGTTGTATTTCGAGTCAACAAAAGAAGTAACTATTGGTTATTGATAACATATCATCGATATACTATACAATCACATATTTTCAAGGGATAAAATTTTCGAGGTTTGAGGATTTTATTTCGTTGTGAAATTTTTTTTTTTAGAAAAAATGTATGTCAGAGTTTACATATGATCGTGGTAAAATAAATCATAGGTCTCTTCAATCCCCAAAACATCGAAATTTAAACATCCGAGAAAATTAGTGAGTTCAAAGTATTTAAAGGTCGATCGAAGACAAAAGCAAGTGATTGTTTTCTCATGTAGAAGTGTTTAATAACAATTGCTTCATAAAAAGTATGGGAACAAAATGACTAGTAAATCAGCTAGATCAGTGTCCATGTGCATTCAAACATTTTTTGAAAGACCTGTTATTCGAAGACACTGTGATGGGAAACTCTAGCATCTTTAAATATCAACTTCAGAGTACTTAAGTGTAAAATTAGAGTAGTTTTTATTGAAGAAAATTAACACACACACACAATGAAGAGGTATTTGGAGATAACAAAACATATTCGAGCTCAAAGTCCATACATACAATACAAAGGAGAAAGGTAACCGTGGACCCCCAAAACGAAGGGGTGGGGAGCAGAGACCATACCCTGCCGACAGGTCACACAGCACGATCGGAAAATAACGGAAATGTCTGTCGATAATCAGTGTATAAATCTTGCCTCAAATTATGAAAAACATCAGTCAACATTTGACTTCTTGATAAATTGCATTTATTGACAATGTCATTTTACCGACTCTAAACTTACGAAATGATGGCTTTAAAAGAGACTGATGATATTCTTATTTCATTACTTTGTCAATAATTTACCTCTGTTTGAGAATGTTCTTGTGTATCAAACCAATTGAAATATATAAACTCCATATGCAGGGAATTCGGATATCTTGCTGAATAAGTAAGGAAAGTTGACTGAAAAGTTACAGACATCACGTTTATCACAGAGCTTGGTTGTTAGATTACCATTAACGTCTTTGTATTGTAAAATATCCATAAATGAAACAGACTGTGTCAGAATCTGTAATATATTCAATTAATAAAGATGAAAAATCATAAGTATAGGGGTGCCCAAATCAATGATTAATAGATTGTTACAACTTTACAAAATGTGTATATATTTGTATAAAATATCAATAATACCACAGCTAAAAACTTGACCATAAAACCTTAAATTTCCATTTTATCGTGTAGTTTTCATCTAGACCAAACTGGTATTGTGACATTAAAGATTTTTAAAATTAAAAAAAAATGCATATTTGTATAAAATTATTCCAGGGTGCATGCTCGTAAATTCGAACACATAAATCCTGTATGCCAAAATGATAAACTCAGTTTTATAGCTTGGTTACGCACTATTTACACATGTGACAATGACTTAGTTCTCCTACTTCTACAGAGAGGCTGATACAAAGACAAAAATTCTTCACGAAATTTGGAGTCAAATAGGAAATAAAATATCGGATTCGCCATATTGTTGATGTTATATAATCTGAATCCAAGAAGATAGAGCACAAGTTGTGATGACGTCATATTGTTTTCGTATTCCGGGTTTATGAAAAATACAATGACAACGATAACATACGGAAGAAAACTGGCAATAAACAATAGTGTTATGGCAACAAGGACTTTTGTTATCTTCCTCTCTTTTCTCTCCACGGGGAAAGTCCTGCCGAGGGTTTTTAAGTCAAAGTTCCTTTTTATTCCAGGAATACGTGCGGGAGCTTGCTTGGTTTTTATGGAGGATTTCGCATCAGAATTGCTTGCCAAATGACTCCTATCATTTGTTGCATTTACTTTGGAGTGGTTTAAACTGTTTATACTTTCCTCATTTTTTGCCAATCCTTCCTTCCTTGTTTCTTCTAGCTTCCCGCTGTTATGATTGTTTTGTTGTTTCTTACATTTTGCAGATGCTTCTGTGTCACTTTCCAACAAAAATTTAATTGGTGTTTTCTGAAGAAAATCAAACTTTTTACGATGTACTTCTGGTGAATCAGGTAATTGTTCGCAGCTGTGAGACAGACGAACGTTCTGTTGTAGGGAAGAGTTCGTTTCTAACAGGTCACTCGAGGAGCAACATGCACGATTTAATTTCACTGAATTACGGTGATTTTTATCTAGCCTTGCTCTGATTTGACGTTCATGTTTTTGCAGTGTGTAACCAATGATAGAATATATAACTGTTAAACAAATCATGCAGACGACAATAAGCAGAGTTAAGAAACCAGCGTAGGCGTACCCGAACGTCGAATGGTCAACCATGTGGTCTCCCCACGTGCACTCTTTCCCTTCATAAATTTCATTTATTTCAATTGTTTTAGGTCCATAAATATAAAGAACAGGCAGAGAAATAACTAATGTTGTGACAATAACAGCTACCACATATTTTTTGGCTCGTGTTTCACTCATTTGGTTTTCATAAGGCTTACATATTTTCCTGTATCGTTCTGATGCTATAAGTAATAGTGTGAAGGCACACGCCAATGCTACACAGTAATTCACATACCGGAAAATCTTACACGAGATTGGATCACTAAATGAATATGGTAATGATTCGTCCACAATTTCAAACGGCATAGAAATACAACATCCGGTCAAATCAATGATGGCGAGGGACAGAACAAACCACCGATAGGTGGAGCTTTTATAGCGCGTGTAATACAGGTACAACACGTGTCCATTGCCAATCACTCCAAGAACGGCCACGATTCCAATAAAAATTCGAACTGGTAACCTGATGGCCACAGCGTGTGATGTGAGTTCTTCTAACGTTTGGTTCGCCGTCATATTCTCCCTGACGCTCTCTCACGAGAGGTAACAGAGCTATAGGATTTTAGTGTACTCCGTGTCTTATTTTGATTAGGCTTGCTTTCAGTAGGCGTACATCCATTCAGTCCCCTGAAGCCGGCTCGTTCTGTCCTTATCACACAAAGATCATCAAAAAGTTCATATGATAACATCTGTCTATATGAAAAAAATTCAGATTCTTCTATTCAATTTTGTTAGATATTATAAATAATTTTCCAACCGTTACATAAATGTGATCGAAATGTCAATATGAAAATACACAATATAAAATGGTAAATTATTTATTTGCCAGTCAGGGAAGTGTATTAATTTGTCCTTATTAAAACAATAAATTTTTTTACCTAATCAAATTACCTCAAAAGAGGAAAAGATGCATTCACTCCTCACTATGATCAAATTATAAATCTGAAAGGGATATGACATATACTAATCTATACTGTTGTTGAAAATCGATCTTTTAAAAGTTTTTGTCAACATCATTATTCGCTAATTCTACATTACTAGTGTTTTTTATTAAAGATGTCAAGTGACATGCTGTTTATTCCAGAGGAGAAGGTTCACGCATTTGAATTTAGAGTGAACATCAGGAATTGATAAAATTCTACAGAAACTGCAATTAGTTAAATGAGGATTGCAATCCGCTGCTACTGTGTGGGACTAATTCTGCTCTTCAGCCATAGGAGTTCTTTTTTAACATAAATAATGTTACCATATTTTAGTTGTCAAGTAAAAGACTTGATATATCACTGTATTGATAAAACATAACTAATACATCACTTAACGATCAATACATACTTTCTTTTGACCCCAGTATGGCTGCTTCTGTCAACGTAGATGTTTAAAAAAAACTCCCATTGAGAAAAACACTGGCCGGTTACCAGTAACAGCAAATGCTCAAAACAAACATATAATAAACCGAGCGCAAGAATTTGTTGATTTTTCTCTCATTTGTGAATTCTAAGCATCTGTTATATCTTACTTCTACTTGACTTACCGCTCGCAAAAAGTCTTAGAATATCAAATTAAAACATTTAACATTCTAGTTTATATATACATGCAATACGTTTGAAAAGTATTATTCTGTGTTGCTATATTTTAATCTTCTTTTCAATGCTGCTTAATAAATATTGAAAAATTGCATAAATTGTCACAATTATTTCAATTTCGTAACATTGACTCTAATAATGTTGATAGGAAAAAAAATCTTTATCAGCTGACTTGTTTTATTTTCATATCCAGCAGTTTTTATTTACGAGGCCAAGTCTAATTATTTCTGCCCTAGGGATTTTTATAATTTTTTGATAATTAATTTTTACTGTTATATTCATTGTTTTAAGATTAAAAAATCGAATGTTTACCACCCCGATTTCTTAGGGGACCATCTCAAAAGTTGTCAAATTTTACTATTGGACCCAATGGGAATTTGTTGGAAAAGCGCTAATTTATCACAATTTCCTCATATATTTTGTATTTCTGTCCTAGTGATTTTTTTCATTCAAGTAGATGAAAGTTATTGTAAAAAATCACCAAATTGTGAAATTTCAAAAGAATTCACCATCTACTTTGTTCTAGGAATTAATTATAATTTATTATTTCAAGCCCAATACCTCTAAAATTGCCATATTACGGTATAACTACATATCAGTGCAGATGAAGTATCGGCACATACGATTTTTTCGGTTAAAAAAAGCAATGTTTAAATTGCTAGTATGTTTTTTTAGATGTTATGTCATCAGTTGTTAGTACAATATCCATGGACGTCTTGAACATACAAGCGAGCCCTGCGCCCTTCTTCAGCGTCATGCTTTGCTTACGTAATGCGATGGTGACGTCGTTAGAGCCATTTCAGCGGAGGTTTTTTCCCGGCAGTCTCATTTAGAGTCATCCCTTCGTAAGTTCTGTAGTTTATTCAATGACCTCGTCAGCAAATACAGTTTATCATTGAGTCAAATGTTGACTGTCGTTTTCCATCCTAATTTTTAGTCCATTATTTATACACTGAATTGACGACGTTTTTTCCTGTTATTTCCCGATCATGACAAGGAGCAAACGCCGGATGTGGCCAGTCAGCAGGGGGTGCTCACTCATCCATGGCACCTGATTCCACCTCTGATGTATTGGACGTCCATGTTTGCTCTGCTTCTATTTTGTATTGTTTAATGGACTTTTGACCTTGAATTTTGTTCTTTATCTCCATATGTTTCATCTTTATGTTCACCTTCTACATCAAAATCTATAACAGTAGATAAAATAATGTGATATTTATGTCGTGTTTACGATGCCATTTCTGTAATTCCAACTCAATACGAATAAATGCACATTAATGCTAAACGTAATAAGTTTAACAAGCTTCGACTAATGTCAGCTGAATGCACGTTTGTAAACAAATCGGTAATAATGAAGGACTGAAAGAGGACAATAATTGGTCGAAAGCAGACTGATTTCTGAATCAAGTGTTTAAAAAAGTGCTTGAAGGATGTCAAACTTCGACTGAAAAGGAATCTTTTGTGAAGCACTTCCTTTTTATCAATTAATTTGCACGTATTTTTTTCATAACAAATCATTTTGCAGTAATGTTATATAGTCCATGTCACAAGTCATACGATGCAAGATACTTCCTTTCAATTAAAGAAATAATTAAAATTAATTACAAAAAATCCTACGATATGAATGTGTGGGTCATTTTTGTGTGAATACTGAAACAGTCTCTAATTAATCTTTAATGAGATATAGTGATATGGCAGGGGATGAACACTCTGCCATGGCACCTGATCCCACCTCTTATGTTTTGGAGGTCCGTATTTGCTCCGCTCCTATTTTGTAATGTTTAGTAGACTTTTGAGCTCAAATACTGTTCTTTATTTCCGCATACATCATGATGTCTTATTTTGTAATTACGAAAGGTCACAAGGCTATTGAAAGTGTTGAAATGTTTTGATGTATTTCGGTATCATACCATCATCTCCTGAGGATGTCAGTGGCGGATTTAAGGGGGGCGCACCCGGCGCGCGCCCCCCCTAAAATTGTCAAAATTAACGTAAATCACAGTTTCGTCTAGAAAATGTAAATATGTGTACTTGGTAGAACTCATTTTTACCCTACAAAATCTCTGATATAAAGCTTAATGGGGGCTTATTGAGGGCCCCCACCAGGGCTTTGCCAATGAAAGTTAACATTATTGCTTTGTTCGCCCCCAGTCCCCTTGCCTACTATTGGCGCCCCCTCTAACTTCAATTCCTGGATCCGCGCCTGGATGTCCATTGCTAAATGTCATATTTCATTTTATTCTCAGTAGTAGTATTAGTAGGAGGAACATTTCATTGGACACCATAATCGGTGATATAAATTAATGAATTATTGAGAACTGTCAGGATAAAGTCAATGAAAGTTAACATTATTGCTTTGTTCGCCCCTATTCTGTCTCTTGTCATTTCGCTCATCTGTATAAAATGTCGATATTGCAGTATTATATAACGAATAAAAACTCGAATTAATGAGTGTCAAACTTTTCTCTTTAACAATAAATCACATTCCTAAAGATTCCCTGAAGGCAGTGTCGATTAATCTTTGTTTAATAGGAGAGCCTTAACAATAATACAGAGAGGAATTACGATGGTCCCAATAGATGCTGGACGTCTTATTTCAATTAATTAGGGGATAATTATGCAGTCATTACTTCAGAAACATGGACAAGCATTCCCAATTTTTGATAGAAATTAACGCTGTACGGCTAGAGTGAATGCATGTGTATTTTTAATGAATTTGCATAACCATATCTATGTTGGATTCCAAAACTTCATAAAAATTCTTTAAAAGGTACGATACTGGTCTGAATTAAAGGTTCTCAGCTTAACGTAAGAACAATTTTAAAACGATATTAATTATGGACGAACAAATCATTTATCGTTTTGTAAGATCTATGGTCAATACATTGACAAAATCATTGTCATCGAATAACGTTATCATTGAGTCAAATACTGACTGACGTGTTTCGTACTAGTTGTTAGGCCATTATGTACACACTGAATTTTCTGATTTTCCAGTGATTTCTCGATCATGACAAGGAGTGCACGGCGGTTGTGACCGGTCGGCAGGTGATGCACTTTCCTCCACAACCTCTGATGTTTTGGAGGTCCCTGTTTGTTTTGCTCCAATTTTGTATTGTTTAATGGACATTTAGCTTGAATACTGTTCCTTATCTCCATTTATTCACTTTACCTTTTTATGCACCCATCATATGATTTATCAGCCCTGTGGTCTATATAACCCCTCCGCCCTCGTGCTGTAATGGGGCAACTCCAACTGATGTAACACATGATATGGATTTCAGCATGAAATATGTTCTATTTTTGAGAAATTAAAAAAAAGTAGTTTAAGGAAAACAAAGAGAGATGACTCTGTAATTTTTTTGTAACTAAATTTAAAACGGAAAATAAATTTCAAGAGAATGATTTCCCTCTTGAATTCTTTTTTTATGGTCTTTCGTGTTCTCTTTATACCCATATTAAAGAGTATTTTCACATCTAATAATGTTTCATAACCTGATTTCAAAGGGAAACATTTTCTACTACTTTATTAAAGGGGTTGTTATTAATTATTAATCAATTACTAATAAAAAAAACCTTGCCTTCAAAATAGTTTTAGTGACGAATTATCAAAATTGACGCAAAAAAAAACTGTGAGCGGAAATTTGAGTTAGTGGGACCGGTAATTTGGGAAAACAAAGAGTGCAAGTTAGGTTCTGTTAATATGAATTACTCCTATTTAACTTTCCGTTTCTTAAATTCTTTTCTTTACTTTTGAGCCTGGTTTTTGTTTCAATTTTTAATGTCTGAAATGTTTCTTTTTTAATATAACGAAGTGACTTCAGCTTTCCTATTATTGTATTCAACTTTCTGTATCTATGTAGTTATGTTCCACTATCACCTGTGTTTGGTGTTCATGTTTCCCAACTTATTTGCTAATTGTTAGGTGTGACCAGTCAGCAGGGGATGCTCACTCCTCCTTGACACCTGATTCCATCTCTGAAGTTTCGGATGTCCGTGTTTG